ATATATATATATATATATATATATATATATATCGCTTCACTTCTTTTTTCTGGTTTTCACAAGTCACGTGGTCGCCAAAATAACAAAGTGAAATTTTTGTGTGTCGTTTTAGTTTTTTGAGGCTGAAAGCGGCACAAAACTCATTATTTGCTGCAACTTAACAGTGTAAGTAAAGGCGCTGCCGAATGCGAAGTACAACATTCGTTGTTGTTGTAGTTGGTACTACCAGGAAAATAACGTTGACTACATTGCTGTTGGTAAAATTTTGTCTCTTCCTTTTTCTTTTCCTAAAGGAATATTTAGTCCTCTCTTTTTTCTCTTCCCCTATTCTTTCATAACTGTTGATTGCGCTTGATCTGTTGCTCATTCTTTTTTTCTTTCTGATCACTTTTTATTCAACATGTATGTTCACTTTTTTTTCTTTTGAAATTCACATTTATTGTGATCATGGTTATACACACATATATATATCTATATTTATTCGCACATAATGCAACCATTGTTTTGTTTCCATTCCTGGCACAATGGATTCTTGCACTTCAAATTTTTTTTTTTAAGTGCTCCCCCTTTTGACCAAAGCGGCAAACGAAACGTGATGGAGGACATCATTTCCTCACTCGACTGGAGGAGTAGCGAAGTCCCTTCTCCCGGTTCCCATAGTTCTCTACCTGATGATGACATCCTTCCATGGCAGTGTGTTAGCGAAGTAATCCCCGGCCTTTATCTCACCTGTGAGTCCGAAGTCGCGGACAAAAAGAAGTGCCTAGAAAATGGAAACGCACTGGTGATCAACATGTGTGGGAGCCCTCATACTCGGAAGTACCGTGTCTACGAAAAGGATGGGAGCGATACCTACGCGTTTCGCCGTTTTGAATCGCAGAGCGAGTTCTACGTAGAGCTGAACAATTATTGCCAGGGCGCGGCGTTGATTTCACTAGATGCACGAAAGATTTTCTATGTCACAATTTCAGCGGAAGACCTTCCGACGTACAGTATCGATTTGCACTTTCTCGAGTGCTCTGTGCTCATTGAGCTAGTGTTGCGATCACGCCAAACGGCGGAGCGGCACGACGACGCCGACTACGCAGCCGCACCTTCAGTGGTGGTGCATTGCATGGTTGGTGTAAGTCGCTCCGCCGCAGTTGTAATTGCGTACATGATGAAGAAATACAATATATCGCGCGACGCGGCCATCCGTTTTATCCGCTGCACCCGACCTGTTATTCAACCCAATCCAGGTTTTCAGAGGCAGCTGGAGCTTTGGGAGTCGCTGGGAGGGTTTCGCATTGCCGACGAAATGTCCGTACAGGTTCTGTCTTCGGAGACAAAAGCAAAGGCGAACCTACTTAACGTTGTGAGCACTATCTTACCAACGATTCTCCGCACGAACAAGTGCGATAATGAACGGTGCTTTTTCGGCACCTTCATCAAAAATGCGTCATCAGGCACAGACGAGCTGCACGCAGTCTACCGAGAACTGCGCTCAACCGTTACCGCGGACGTTGACTGTGAGGTGTATACAGACATCCCAAATTACTTTGGCTATGTTGCGGAGATTGTGTGTAGTGTCGACACCACACTACCTTCTTTCATGCAGTATGCCAGTTTTTCGAAGCAGATTCCTACGTGCAACGACACATTTTATTACCGTGTGATGAAGGATGTTGCTCGATCTGGCTTCGAGAAGGACACGTTCGACACCGCGAGAGGTTTTTGTTCTTTGTTCGAGGCTATCTATCTGAAGCACCTTCGTCAAGTTGGAGACGGCCGACCTCGTCTCTTGAGCGATAAAGAAGAAAGCTGCGTTTCAGTTCCCACGGGCTGCGGGCTGTCGTTTCCTTTTTTGTTTCTCGTAGCGCCTTATGCCGAGGGCTTTGTTCAATTCAGAGAGTGGGACGCGCTGGCTGAGGCGTTTAGCCCCACCGGTGCTACCCTGAGCGCCGAGGAAGAGTGGCAGCTTACAACCCGGGTGCTGGACAGCTTCTTCCAATTCTTTTTCAGGTCCTCCTGCGGCTGCGCCGAGTCGACATCCGCAACTGAAACTAATGCGTCGGTTGATGCGTACAGCAAACTTGCGTATCTGCAAGAGGACATGGAGCTAGTGACTTTTCGAAAGCTGGAGGAGTTGTGGAGATCAAGTGACTCTATCGCTTCCGCGGAGGTGGTCGTATCGGCTTCCGACTCCGACGACGCCCAGATATTTCTTATGCTCGTGCTGAAGGCTATTAGCGGAATTGTTGCGTTTCGCATAGTTCTGGAGGCGGCAGAGCAATTCCTGACACAGACTTATGCTGCACGTTTGTCTGGTAGCGGAGCCGTCGCTGATAAAAAGCTCTCGTTACCGGTGATCTCAGCCGCCATTACAAGTCTTGACTCCGTATACGCTGAAAAATACGGGTCTTCGTCCAACGTCGTGGAATTTTTCAACCAGGAGCTTTCGGGCCTGCGTGAGAGCGGCGTGCTGAACACCTCGGGCGTTGTTTCGCTGTTTCACACCTCATCGTGAGACTCAAATATCCCATTTTGACAATTTGTTGCTGACAGCCTTTTCTTGCTTTGGACGAGTTGCTTACTTGTAGCTTATTTGCTTCTTGGGGCACCTTTTGTCTCATTTCACGGGTAAGTTACAAAGCGGAGAGCCGTTGTACTTGATCGACCCCTGGATTCACTTTCGGCTGTTCTTTTACTGTTTCACCGTAGACCTTTGCCGACCAGGTTCTTGGACACATGACGAATTCGGCGCGCTGTTTGCTCTTTGCCTCACTGATATGCGGAGCCCCCGGAAAAAACAGCAACAGCAAAATCACAAAGAACATGAACGCTTGCTGTTTCAAGAGAGAGAGAGGAGCAGCTATTCAGGTTTCAAAGCTTAAAAAAAGAAACTAACAAATTGGTTCAACGAACTTCGAAGCGACACGTCAATTGAGGCTTCAAAGAATGCAGGTATTTGTCTGTGAGTTGTGCAGTTGTTTTTCTTCCGATATTTTTCTACACTGTTCCACGTTACCTCCTGCGTTTTTGTTTTTTTCTGCGTTATACCCACGAGCTTGCATTCTAGCTGCGCTCTTCTCTCTCTCTACCATCCTTCTAAAGGCTCGCTTTGAAAACGGCTCTATAAATTTGTCAAGTTGTGATAGCGCTTCGAATCGTCACAAGCATCATAAGAAGGCCGAACAACCGTCATTGCATATCTTCATTTCACCATCTCCCCCTCGTTTCCGCCGCTGACACCACGTGACAAAGCGCAGCGAACGTTAAATGTCTTCGGAGTATAGTGAGCTGACTTTGAAGTTGCTTCGGAAGAACTTTGATATACTCGACAAGGACAAGATTGGCCGGGTTAAAAATGAAAACCTTCCGTACCTCATGCGTGTCTGCGGGGCAGCTCCATTGGAGGCCAACTTGGATGGCCTGAAAGCCATCGCAGACCCGGACGGACGCGGCAGTTTTAGCTTTGACAACTTCTGCATTGCGCAAAAGAAGGCCTTAGCGGAGTCGGTCAACGCGCTAGACGCCAAGGCCGCCTTTCATGGCTTTGACCCAGATAAGCGTGGCCTCATTACTCCCCACGCGCTTAGCTTCTTCCTCACCACCATGGGTGACGCTTTAACAGCGGAGGAAATGAACAGTTTTATCGAGGCGGTGCAGTCGGATGCCGACATGGAAGGCAATTTAGTCATTGCGGACGTTGTTTACAAAATGACCGCGGAGATGTACCGCTGAGTGCGTCCGCGCGTGCGGATGACGTTTTGTTGCTCTCCTTCGGTGGGAAGGTCGTGAGTAAGAAACGGTTTGGTGTTTGAACAAGAACAAACATATATTATTTTTATTTATTTGCTGATGTAACCCTTTTTTTTTTCTTGCTTCCTTTTTGTGGCATTTATAGCGGGATTTCGAAAGCAGGTTTTGTTTTTTTCTTCGCTGAGTGTTGTTGCTGCTGGGCCGGTTTTTAAATGCGGTTGAATGTACATAGTGAAGCACTTGACTGGGGTGCTTAAAAAAAAAGAAAAACAAGCGTTGTATGCAGTTGCCAGTAGAGCGTTTCCATGACCTTTCTGGATCAACACGAGCTGCTTGCTGAAGAGCAAACAACGACAACAGTGCTTTCCACAGACTAAGCAATGGTGCTCTCCACGACATCACTTCGTAGAAAGCTCGTCAGGTTAAAAAAAAAGCGTATGTTTGGCGATTCTGTCTCCCCCCACACTCACGAAAACGCATTTCCTCCTCACCCCAACCTTTGTTTCAAAATCGGAATCAATTTTGACTGATGCGCTCTCATTTGCGTATTATGGCCCTTCCCGCTTTTAACTCTGACTTGAAAAGCGACAGAGGATCCCTCCGACGGTCGAATCTTACTCCGCGTTTCCTTCTCTTCTGCACCATGAGTGTCAATCCCGTCATCCTGGAGGACACCTTCACGGTGAACGGTGTGAATACGGAGGGCACCGTGTACCTTCGCGTCTCGCGTATCCGCTGCGTTAATCAGGATGGCTCGCTGACCATCACCGCTGATATCAACTCCGAAGAATTCCCCGTCGCCACGAATGATCGCCTCACCATTGTGCTGGCCAATTCTCTAGAGCTGGGTGGCAAGACGGGCAGTAAGTACTACGATCACAGCGTGTACCACCGCGAGACGCGCTTGAACGACTGCGACTACGCCATGCACGGCCGCGTGTACGGCCACGAAGTGGTCGAGAATGGGCTGGAGGTGAATGTCCACATTAGCTGTGGCGGACTCTTGACGAACATCGTCGGCAAGCCGCAGGGTCTGCGCGACGTGCACTACAACAGCGACGTCTACATCCTGGTTAAGCGCGTGAAGGATTGATGCTGCGAGGAGAGCTTTGTTTCCTGCTGCTTGAGTGGGGGATAATAGAAAAGAGGTGATTCTCTCTTGATGTGCTGTCTGGGGGATTCAGTTCTCCGCGTCCACCTTTTTTTTGGTGATGTTTGTGAAGGTTGGCTTTACAGCCTGCCGTCTTTTGGCTCTCTTTTTCTTTATTGATAAAACGGCTTCTTCTAACTCGGCGTTAAGGATGCGTGATAACCGAATAAGCCAAAAATTCAAAGAAATAGGTGATGGACATTGCGTTCCACCTTTAGAACGACTTCCACGTCTGTAAACAAAAAGACAGACAAGTATCTTTCTTTTCTGTCTCTGTCCATGCGCACGTGAAGCATCGCGGAGGTTGTGGAAGCCGACTTCTTCGTCACTCCTTTCCTTTGTACATCTGTGGAGGCGATCGAGTGTTTACAGAGGTGCAGCGCGGGTTTCGCAGGAGCGCTACACCTGACTCCACCCAGCTAGCGGCAAATGGGTTTGCATCATTGAGTTGCAGGCCACTCGACAGCTTCGTCTTTCGAACTTTACAAAAGGGAAAAACAAGGTTTTTTTTTTTGACTGCGCTGTTTTGATTGCTCGCCATTTTTTTTCTTTCTTTCCTCCTCTTTTCTTTCGCTTTCGGCAATCTTCGCCGGCTCACCGTACAGCCTCTTTTGGTTCCTCGTTCCCAAAGAAGCTGTACGAAGCGCTGATACCAACGACATTAGGCGCCCTTATTTCTGTTAGCGCCAACCGTATTTACCATATTGCCCACACCCACACGTCTACACGAGCACGTCCGTAAATGCAAAGGTCGAGTCGCACTCGCGCGTTGGCGTGTGCCGTTGCCGCGTTGCAAGAGGCAGGCACATCAACGCAATGCCTCTTTGCGTTGAAGCGGCCGTTTTTCTCCACGCGCACCTACACGCATCCGTTTTCTGCCGAGCAGCACCCAGAGGAGAACATCGAGTTTAACGCCACGGATCAAGAGGCAGCAGCTGCTACGGCTGCAATGACGCTGCCATCCTCCTCCTCCTCCTCTGCCGCCCCACAGCAGCGGTATCGACGACGCTCCTCCAACCCGCAGACGCCACGGGAAAAGGCGGACTTCCGGCGCGACTACAAATACGCCAAGCACCGCCCATTGCCTGACGCACCGTGGCGGCAGTTGAAGACAAGGACGTATCTCGATGATGCGGAGCGGCTGTACGGGCGCAAGGAGACGTGGCACTCCGTGGAGGACGCCGTGCTGCGCGAGAAGCTTGTGGCGATATTGCAGGACTACCTGCGTGACACTCTCGCTGCTGCTCGCCTGGAGGCAAAGGAGGCGCGCAAGTACCACCACCTCTGCTCGATCGCCGCGAAGCAGTACCGCGCTCACGTCTCCTCGGGCGCCTTTGGCTTGGCGGACGGGATGCAGGCGTGGGCGCTGGACGTGCTGAAAAGCCGCTCTTCGACACTGCAGTCCAAGTCCGCAAGCGGAGAGGTGAGCGCCGACACGACAGCGGACTCGACTGACACATTAAGCTACGCTTCTTCTTCGCCAATTCTCACGGAGGGAGACGTGTCGATGACGACGCCGTCTGCCACCTCCACGGACGAAACGGCCGCCGCTGAGTTTCGCGAGAAGCGTCGACGTCGGGGCGAGCAGGCGGTCTTGGCGCACACGGCGGCCATTACAGACTTGCCGGACGCGGACGTGCGTCACACCCCGCAGTCGGCGTTCCCGTTTCTTCGCCGCCGTGCCGTGGAGGACGAGTCCACGCTGGACCCCTCCCTGGTGGATTGGACGGCGAAGTACTTCCCAGAGGACGACGCGCGCACTTTCGCGGAACCACCGAAGCTGCGCCAACATGGAGGGGGGAGCGCACGCGACACCGCTGGGGAGGAAGATGGCGGCGGCGATGCGTCGTCCCGCAACGAACAACGTACGCACGGGTTTGGATTTGGTGGCCCACGCGTCGACACCGCAGGCAACGCGGTCGATCCTGCTTCCCTGAACTCGACAGCGACGTCGCGTCGTGCTACGTCGGTGCATGCTCGGCATCGCCTGCAGCGCACCCTGCGTGACCACGAAAACCGTCACCGGTCTACATTCGATGCGGAGGGCGTGTATTACAAGGTGCGGCGCCAGAGCGAGGTAGATGAGCGGGCACCGAAGCCGCAGGCGGTGAAGGCGTCCGACTTGGAGCCGGCTGGCAGGCGGTCGGAGGTGGTGAAGGTGCCGTGGAGCGTTGCGTCCAAGGCAAAGGCGCAGGGGTACTCGAGTGAGACGCTGCGCGCAAAGGAGCGGCTTATTCGCCTCACGCGCGGTGAGGATCCGGAGACCATTCCATAGGACACGGAGAAGGGTGCGCTGTGGGATGTGTAGAAGGAGCGCGCCAACGTGTTGGGTCTCTGCTTGTGTATTTTTGTTTCCCCTCTGTTTGTGCTTTGTGGTTTATTGTAGTAATTCACAGATCTTTCTTAAAATAATTGTGGGTGGAGGATGTGCGCGCAAAGGGCTGTTTGGCCAGTGGAGACAACTAGCCGCATTCACTAAAGCTGCTGCTCCCACCTCCTCAAGTTCGCGCTTCTGTTCTTTTGCCACACTCCACCGTAGTCGCCTCACGTCGCAAAGAAGAGAAACAAAAAACCAATAGCGAAAAGGAGCAGATTGAATCGTCCTATTGACCCTGCGCGTAGACGACGTAGAGGGTGAAACTTTGTGGTGTTTGCCCAGGGCATGATGAATGGTTTCGTGCTGTTGCACATACACGGCGTTTTCTCTCCTTGATTTCTGAAGCGGCAGGTTTGTGTACTGTGGTGCCTCTCTTTCTTTTGCAATTTTTTTTTTTTGCACTCCTCGTATGCACCGCTCTCTTTCTTTCCCTTTTTTTATCTTAGGCTGCTCTTTTCCCTTTCCCTCTCTCTCTCTCTCATCCAAATCACCGCATAGGCAGTTGAGACGAGCCTTTAAAAAGGTCGATACCTTCTCCCACGTTAACGTGGCCTACGTGACGATGCTAGCTTGCTCTTTGTGCAGCCGTCAGAGTTGTACCTTTGTGTGGTACAAGGCATTCGCGGAGCGGTTTTCTGCTGACTCACAGAAGGGCGTCGTCCGCATCGTCGAGCGTGTGTGTGCTGACAACACGAGCGAATGGCACGACCCCCCAACGATGGCACATAAGCCTTTTCACTCCAGTTCCGCCGACGCAACAACTGAACATCAAGAGCGTGCGTGTGCTTTGTCTGTCGCCGCCATCACCTCCTCACCGCCGCTTCTACCTTGCAACTGCACAGGGAAAGTGTTCCAGTTTTCCGCCAAGGACGTGTATATCTTGTCCGATGCACAATCGCCATTCACGAAAGGCGAGGCAGATGAGGAGAGGGAGCAGAAGATCACGTCTCTTTATCCGTGCTACATAGCTGGCGGATGTCCGTTAGTGGTCCAAGTGCAGACGGTGCACACTGGCACCACACATTGCGAAGAAGCCGTACGACTTTTCGTGCGTGCTTCGCTGGGCGCTGCTGAGGCGGTCAACCGGCACTTCGTCTATTTTTATTCTTTACCAAAGACACGTTTTGATCAATGGCAGCGACATTCGACCGTGTTCGACGAGAGGATAAAGCGATGCAGGCGACGGCCGTCGCTTGTAAGGGCAGATCGTTTCACTGACGTGAGTGAGGTGGACTGCGACGTACTCGAAATGATTGATCTACCACTGTCGAAACTCGTCACCAGGGACGCTTATTGTCGCCATGGAGCCCCTAGTGGAGGCAGCGGCGGTGCCTGCGGTGCAGAGCCATCGGTTCACAATGTAGAGGACGTAGATGCGGTTCCTATGTAGGTACGCTGCGGCATCGACTCAACGTGTGTTCATCGTAGTCCGAAGCGGAGCACATAAGAGAGTGCTTGAAGAGCACAATTGCCAGGTTTTATGCGCATGTTTTTTTTTTTTTAAAGTTCTTTGCTTTCTGTTTTGCTTTATTCTGCTAGTCCTTTCACTGCTCCCCCTTTTTTAATACCTATAATGGCTTGCGTTACGCTTCTGCTCGAAGGTGCGGTGTGTAACAGGTGAGGTTTTTTTTTCTCAAATGGAACTTACATCACGCAACTTGAAGGTTACGATGGCTGTCGGATAAACGAGCAAACAAACAGGCGCACAACAGAAAAATAGAGAACCGTCTTTTCACACCTCAGTGCTGACTTCTTTGTGCAGTGGCACCACACCGTTCTCGGTATTATTATATTGGCAGTATTGTTAGCTGCATGCTTATTCACCTGACGACACTGTTTCGACGGTTGCATTACGCGCATAAGGTACGCACGCTCCTGCTCTGACCTCTTTCAGCAAGTCACGTTTTTTGTTTTTCTTCTCTCGTCTTCTCACTCCATCTTTTCTTCCGACCCAGTCTTCTGTCGCTTCATCGCTCTACGATTTTTTCCCTCACTTGCTTTTCAATTCTTTCTTTTATAAAAAAAATCCGCAAGTTTTCCCTCTACGGAAGAATCCTCCAAGCATCACAGCATCCTCTTTCACATATACCGGCTCAACTTCGTCGTTGGTCGATTGTAAAAAAAGAAAGTAAATCCACACACAAGCAACAAGGAAAATGTTTCGCGCTTCTGTCATCTCCCGCATCGCGCCGTCGCTGATGCTGCTGAACACGGGTAAGGTGATCTCCTGGATGAGCGGCCGCGGCTTCGGCTTCGTCGAGGACGACGCAGATAAGAAGCAGCACTTTGTGCACTTCTCCGCTTTGCAGACGGAGACAGGCGGCTACCGCGCCGTCGCCGTGGGCCAGGAGGTGGAGTTCGAGGTGGCCACGCAGGACGGCCGCACGCGCGCCGAGAACGTGACGGCCCCCGGCGGTGCAAAGCTGCCTTCGGGCCCTCGGCCGCCGGAGGGGACCGGTCGAGGTGGCTTCGGTGGCCGCGGCCGTGGACGTGGTCGCGGCGGCAACTTCAACAACCGCCAAGACCGTGGGGACAGCGGCAACCGCGATGGTGGCCGCCCGAACAACAACTTCAGTGACGAGTTCTAACGCAAAAAGCACTGCGGTCAGGACGAGAAAAAGTAAACACGGCGACACCAACGCCGGAAACCTTCACGAGAACGTGTGCTGCACACGTTCTGTGCGAGACGAGCGCGAGGCGTAATGCACGACAAGAAACAGTATTAATCGTGAAGACACATGCAGCTGATGCGTAATTGCACGAACACCTATTTTTTTTCCACGTACATAGATGCCAACAAATACTTTCAGAGCTGCTCGTGGTGCTTTGAGTAATGAAGAGTAATAATTGTATTTGGTGGAGTGTGTGTGTGTGTGTGTGCGATAGGTTCACATGGCTGTCGGACAGATAGTCACGTAAAGAAAAGCCGCGTTCTCGTTGTTTGAATCGGTTGCGTTTCTGGCTTTGTTTCCACGAATTTACTTTCTCTTTTCCTTCATTTTCATTTATAAATATGGTCCCGGCGTGTTTGAGTTTATTACCTTCGTTTGTTACTGTGATGTGAAGGTTGAATTGAAGAGCGAGCGAATGAAAGCCGCAAAGAAGAGAGGGGAACGTGTTCCAATGCGGGAGTTACTCACTATGGTACACCTGTTCGGATGCCTTTCTTCTTGGACTTGCGAATTAATCACCTCCCTCTTGGTTTTTTTTTTCTAGTACGTATGAATCGTTTAGGTCACATGCTTTTCCATTGCTCTGAAGACCCAAGTTTTCCAGGTACCCAGTAAGCGATCCCTTCTCTTGTTTTTCTCCTTTTCTTTTGAGCTTTACAGATTTATCTGCTTATCGTTTTTCGTCTCACTCGGCATACACCGGATTAATTGCGACGTGGATAGAGCAAAGTGTGTTTCAATCTTTTTCTTTTGTCGTTGTTGTTGCGAAGCAAGACTGACACTTTTTGTAGCCGTGGTGATGTCGTTGCCACAACGACGATAGGGTAGGTGTGGGCAGAGAGCAGAACTATTGGAAGGTTGTGCACGTAGGTGGAAACATAACGTAGCTGATTTTCAATCGACTTTTGTTGTTAAGAAAGTAAGAGAGCAGAGAAAGAAAAAGAAACAGCAACGTGCCGACGCAGAGCATAGAGTGTAATGAGGCCTCAAGTGGAAATGGCCTTCGGAGCGAAATGGTTAGAAGAACTCTTAGGCACACGGGACGGATGGTATGGCATCAATAAGAGGAGGAGACGCGAACCAAAGAGGAACGGAAGGGCGTGGTCCCGAATCGTGTCTTGAAGAGAGGAAATCACACGCACCCCATTTCGGTGTGTCCGCGATGAGTTCTCGTCTCTCGTGCAACGCAACAAACGGTGTTTCGTTGCGGCGCTTGCCGCTTGTTCTTCGCAGGAAAAAAAGAAGCAGACGAAGACCCGCCTGTTCTCTTGGACCCGTCGTCCCAGCAGCGTTGCGCTTCTTTCTGCGACTCTGCAAACATTGTACCCTTTCGTGTGCTTTATTTTTTCTTATCCAGTGATGCAACCGTCGCTCATCTTTTTTTCCCCCGTCTCTTCGCTGATTGGCAGACCGTTCTTTTTGTAAGTAGCAACACGTGTGGAGGTATACGTCCATCTATCCATATTCACAAACTTCAGTGTGTTCTGAGAACTGTTTTTTTTTTCTCCTGGAGGCTATCGCCACACACTCTAAACACCAACACAACGGAACGGCAGCACAGTTTGCAACTTTTTTTTTCGTCGGGTTGCTTACAAGTACATTATAGCTCGGGTGTTGCACACTGAAGGGTGAAGCGAGACGTGCGGAAGATCTGTTGCCTTTCCCACCGCTACTCTGCACCGCACGGTAACGCAGCTCTAAAGGTTCTTATTAGTTGCGAGCAGCCCGTTTCATAGCACATCCTTGCGGTTTTTATTTATTTATTTCGTTTCTTCTTCTCTGCGTGCCAAGGACGGAAGGTTTTGTCACGACCGTCTAACCATAATGATACATAGGGAGGAGAGGCGCACCCCAGAAGAAATCTCCCAGTTGTCATAATCCACATATATATCTGAAAAGACGCCGACTCTCTCTTTCTCTTTTCGTTTGTACTTCTCGCGCGCCGCCCTTCGGAGGGATCTGTCTTCGCGTTGTTGTGTAGTGTGCGTACACACTAAGTAAAAAGCGAAACGAAAGTTTTAAAAAGGAGAAACACCTCACATAAAAAGGATAATTGTCTTCCACAACAACGGACTCAATAAATACCTTGAGAATGGACTTTTCAACCTCATCACGCCAATGGAGCGCGAAACCAAGTACGCTTGCCAAAATCCCCTCCATCCCTGTGATGGCTATCAATAATGTGGGTGACAGTGGCTCTAGCTCTCTCAACGGCAGCCGGACCGGCGCTGTGGCGTCGGCGCAGAATCCACACCCACACCGCTATGACAGCTCGAACGGATTCACATCCACGTCAGATGACGGTCGTGGCTCCTCCGAGTGCGTCCGCAGTGCGTCCTCGGTGCGCTACCACGAAAACTCAGACAGCTGCAGCTGCCCCATGTGCAAGCTGACACTGTACATCTCGTACATGTACCGCGACCAACGCCGTGCTTCCCCGCACGTGATGCTCGCACGGCCTTCGCCCGACTACGCCATGGTCCCAGATGGTTCCCTGCCGCCGCTGCCGGTCCTGCAGAAACCGAGCGGAGTGGAGGTGTGCCCGGTGTACGCGTCCTACGGCTTCTGCCCTCTCCACAAAGGCTGCTTTCTGCCACACGACGGGGCCAACTGCGCCTCTCCACGCGTGCTGCGATTGGGGTCTGCGGACGCGGAGGTGCAGCGACTCGTGCGCCGCGGCATGGAGTTGCAGTGCACTGACGTATGGACGTGTGATGTGTGCGGCTACAGCGAAATTGACGAGTTTGCCGAAATGCCGCTGGGGACCGAACACGCCTTCCGCCAGTGCCCCCGCTGCACCTTCATGTGCTACTTCCCGTACATCACGTACCTCGTCGAAGATATCCTCGCCAGCGTCGGGGATGACTATCAGCTATACAAGTCAGAGATCGACCGCTATCGTGCGCAGCTGCCGGACCTGTTTAAGATTCCCTTGTCCTACGAGGCCCACCGCGTGGCGAACGTGCTGTTTGCGTGGAGTCTCGTGTCTCCGGCGCACGCGCGGGATGCCATGAACACCGTCGTTCGCGAGTTCCCTGAGGTCGAGGCGATTGTGAGCATCGGCAGCGGCGCCGGCTACGTGGAGCACATCTTCAATCGGGTGATGCACCACGTTCCCCTGCGCGAGGAGTGGGAGGTGGACCGCCGCCGGTTCCCCATCACCGCGTTTGACAACGTTCGGTGCGACTTCTACGGGAAGCGGGTCATCCCAATTTTTGCGTTTGACGCGTTGGCGCTGCAGGGCACCTACAGCGTACACGTCTCGATGGGCGGGCCGGTAGCTCTCTACTCGCTCAACTGCAAGAAGTCCGCGCTGCTGCTCTGCTGGCCGCCGTTTGGTTCTCGCGAGCGGGAGGAGAGCTCGATGGGCTTTGAGGCGTTGGAGTACTTTACCCGGCAAGGTGGCACGACGTTCATCTACGTTGGAGACACCGCGGCAACAGGGGACTGGCGCTTCCATATGCTCCTCAAGTCCCACTACAAGCTCGTGCGAGCCTACCCGGTGCGGCGGGAGTTGCGGCGTTGGTGTCCGCAGGAGATGGGTTTCGTGTACGGCGGGAACGACTCGATCGGCGTGTACCGCCTTCGCGATGTGCCGTTGCTCACCACGTACTAGCGGTGACGGTAGAAGATAAAGGAAATGAAAATGACTTGCGACGGGCTCCTTTGCAGTGGCTGCGCCTGAGACGCTCAAAAAGAAGTGCTTTACCAACAAATATAGTACATGAGGACCGCCTTGTGGGTTACCTTGGCGTGCAACCGTAAGGCAGGAACGAAAAAGGAAACGAACAGGACTCCCATCCGGTGTGTGTGTGTGTGTATGTGTGGTGCACGGTTCTGAAAAGCAGGGGAAACCAACAAACGTCCCCAAACCACAATGGCTTCGCAGTGCTGCGTATCTCATGACACCATTGTTCTTGTGTTGAGTTCGTTGTCGGTTTTCTTTTGTTTTGCAAGCTATGCTGAGACAACAGTACCAATAACAGCTGCTTCTGTTTTTTCTTTCTTTTGTAAATGCTCTCTGTGCTCTTTCTTTTCTTTTTCTTATTTGCGCGTGAATCCTTGTGGAAAAGAGCGCCCCTTTTCTCTCGTGCACGAGGGGCGACACTCTTGTGTTACTTGCTTGTTTGTTTCATCTCGCATTTAATGTTCCTTTTCTTTTTCTGTTTAGCCTTGTGGGTTTTTTTGGTTGTTTTGTGTTGTTCGCAGTGTTTTCAGTCTTGCTGCGTATCCATTATGCCCCTGAGGCCTCCCTTACGGCAAACCGTGCTCGAGTCTTCGTCTTTGTGTCCCTTTCCTCCCGCCCTCTTTACGTCTCCTTGCGGTGCGTAAAGCTCTGTGCGTGAGTGGGCACGCATTTGCGTGAACGACGGAGAAGCGGTTAACACACGCACACGCGCACACACCCATGAGAAAAAGATGCAGTCATAAATGTCCGACTTTTCAATTTCTTTTTTTTGCTTAAAAACGTTTTTCTTCTATTCTGTGCCCCCCTGATTTTCGTTTCCCTTCTTGACCTTTCCTGGCCCTTCAGCACCCGCTCGTTACCCGACACCGTGTCTCCGTTTGGACGCCCCCCTCACAGGTGTCGGGGAGCTCTTCTCTCTTCTGTTCTTTCATTCTACTTTTCTGTTCGTTTCGATCCTTCTCGCCACGATTTTTTCTTCCTCGTGTTTTTTTTTTATCAAAAGCAGCTTATTCTGATAATTGTCTTTTTTTCTTAAACGTCTATATGGATATATGGATATATATGGATATATATGTATTCGACCGTATCACTGCTTTATACCGTTCTTTCATTCGCCCCTTCGCCGCCTTCTCTTTTTGAAATGTATTTATGGTTTTGTTTTCTCTGGCTGATGTGTCGTGCGAGAAAGAAAACGAAAACGGTTTTTACCTTCGAAAGGACGCAGCTGATGCGGCGACGGTAACAACTGACAACAACAACAAAAAAAAACCCTAACTGACTAGAAAAGAAATCATCAAAACCACATCAAAAACCAAAAAAAATGACTATTATTATTCGTTTTCGTTTCTCGAATCCGTTTCTTTACAAAATCCTCTTTTTTCTTTTTAATGCAGAGAGGCGCTCCTGTGCTCCTACAACAATAGCAAGAGCAAAGAAAAGACATGAGGATAATTGCACCTCATGGGATTACCGTTACTTGACCTTTCAGGTGGTTGCGAAATCCTTCCGCCCTTTTCTTTTCATTTTGCTGTTTGGCGCACTTTAATTACATATGTATATTGGATGTTACAGGTTATTATATACTCATGGCCTTCTCTACCGGACGTACACTGTTCTACAAATTTTGGTCGAGGGAGGCGATGGGCCTTCACACCGACGAAGTATGAGCTGCGAACGACTTGTCAACTGCAATTGAGGAAGCTGCATGAAGTAGCTACCGAATTATCTTTGTTCCGCGGATGAGGGATCATTATTATATATACAAAGGGTCCGAGGTACTGCCGTAGGGTTGGACGCGCGACGAAGGATCTCAATAGCGTTTCTTTTACTTGTTCTCGTAAAATCATATTAGCGAATCGTGAGGCGGTGAGGTAAAGAAAACCAATTTTTTGCTGCATATTGTAGGCGTCTCACAACGCTGTGAATGCACAGCGTAGCTAAACCGTAGGAGTTCTGCGCGTGAGCGATGTACCTGTGCGCACACTAATGGCACTTGCTGGACGTGAATGGATGTTGTTGTTTTCGTTGTTGTATTGCTGTGGCATTTTTACTTTCTTCTTTTTGTGGAGCTCTCAGCTCGCAAGGGCACAGGGGTGAGCGTGGACTTCATTGAGCAATTATATTTCTCAGGCACTCACATCATTGCTTTTTCCTGCCCTTTAAGAGCTGGTTTTTTATTTTGAATAAGAAGAGAAACGAAATGAGAAATTTTTTCCAGCAAAAAGATTTTTGTTGTTCACATTTTAAAACGGTTTCTGTTTTTTTTTTTTTCCCTCCTGCGTACGTTGGTTTAGGACTGCAATGTTGCTGTTGACACGTACGAGAGTTATCTAAAACTAGAAACGCTGGGTGGTTTAAGTCGGTCTCTTTTTTTTCTTCTCCTCCCTACAAGTCTTCACAAAACTTGAGCAGACACTGTTCGAAATCCGTTTTTTTCTTTTGTTGTATTTTGTTGTATTCTGCTGTGTGTTGTGGTGATGCTGTTGTCATGAACATTGGAACTGGCGATGCTGTGGGTAACATTATATATATAAATATTTTTTCCCAATTAATATATATTTTCACGCTATTGTCTTCGGTCGCTGAGGCTTTTTAAAATTCTCTCTCTGCAAGCGGAGCACTCGCTGTGCAGTTGTGTATCGCGAAGTTTGCGCTGCACATACATTCCCGCAATACAAGCCCCTCCCTCTCTTTTCTTGTTATCTTTCAGTTTGTATTCGTATCTTGTCGTGATCAATGCAATAGAAGACGATGATGTTGAAAGGTTGGGCGATGAAAGAAAGACGGTGTGTCTCTCCGCCACACGTCTGCGACTTTGACGCGTTATTATTATTATTATTATTTTGTCTGTGCCTTTGTTTCGCAGACAAGAGGCAGCAAGTTCAAACGGCCCGCTTAGACGCTTATTCAATGCTTAACGGACATGTTCCTTTCAAAGAAACATTGCCGCATTACAACTCTGATTTTTTGGAGAGCAGACCTTTTTAAATATGTGGCTGCATATCTCACTGCTGGCGTTGGCGATGGGCACTCATCTCCTTTGTTCTTCCACGCTTTTCTCTCTCTCCTTTCGCCAACTCTACCTTCCCGGCTCAGCAGTCGTTTTAATCCAACGTGCGGCCTCGGGAGTGCGAATCTGCACCGCCACCTTGTTTACGAGTTTATCCTTCAGAGGAAAAAGATCTACTCTCACCGCACACGCGCAGTGGGGTTGAGTGCCGCCGCTGCGCTTTTCAATACAACGGAAATCTAGCAATCTTCTTTTTTCTTTGTTACCACGCAGGAGAACACCGCTGTTTACCTTTCCACATTAAGGCGTAGAACTGCTTCTTTTGTATTCTATTTGTTACCCCCCCCCCTCACACAGCGCGTCGCATCACCTATCCATGAACCAATTGGAGTACTTCCTGGCCAGCACCGACGGCAGCAGGGCAGATGTGATGCGCTACATGCAGCGGCTGCGGGACCTGGATGAGTGGATTGAATACCACCTTACGCTTCTGCGCGCCATTACGGCAAACCGCGTCGTGTATCTGGTAGGCGCTGCCCACGAAGAACGCACCCGGCATCGTGGCGGGCGTCGTGCTGGCGTGCGAGGACGTGGAGGAGGTCGGGGCCGTGGGGGTGGTCGGGGAGGCCCCTCCACCGCAGCCACGCCGCGTCACGTGCACGATGTGGACGCAGTGGAGAATGCGGAGGCAGATGACGGGACTCACGGTGGCCCTGTTCCTTCGCCCGGTGCGGCGACAACGGCGACCACCTACATGGCGGAGCTGCAGCGGCAGTTTGTGTGGCATGAGACGTGTGTGCGGCAGCATTGCCAGGAGCGGGAGGTGCTGGCGGCCGAACTGGCGGAGCGATGTGCGGAGGTGCGGCTGTCGATGGCCTCGCGTCTCGCTAACTTTGCCTCCGTGGCCGACGTGCCGGTGACGGAGTTGGCAAGTTAGAAATGAGCGACACAACAACCACAGAGGAAGATGGCAGAAAGCTGTGTCTTTCATTCCTCGTCTTGTCACCGGTGTTACTTCCGTGCCGTCTTCGCATGTTCATAACTGATATCCTTGTTGTGATTCCTATTTTTCTTTTTGCTTTGGTGTTGTACGCCGCGTGCTGGCGGCACGACTGAGGTTGCCTCGCTTTTTAGCGTTTCTTTTCGTAGTCGAAGAACGTCTTTTTTTGAGGCGCTCTCTCTATTGCCACCTTTGCTGCTGTAAATCCAATCGGTGCGGTCTCCTACTGCCAAGAATAAGACTGTGGTGGACCTTTACTTAGTTGGCTTGCTTTGTATTCAGTTTCAATGGTCTGTATTGTCGGAGAGCCGAAGTGCTGGACAGCAGTGCTCTCTCTCCCTTTCTCTCTCTCTCTGGCGGCTGCTACAATGCGTCGGCTTCCACGACGAATCTTCTTGCTCCCGCACTCATCACCACAGACCCGTCTTCTTTCTCCGGCGCCTTCACACTTTTCGGTCTTCCATCGGATGTGCTGGACAATTTAGACAATTTTTGAACGTGCACGAGGCGCTGGTTCGCTGGACTCCGCCCACCGGCACCCTCGGCCTGACAAAAAGCCTTTTTTCTTCTTGTGGCACGAAGGGGAGGGTGGTGGTACAAAACAAACCACCTCTGAGCCCGCAGCGCACGGCGCATCGCGATGTCCGCCATCGGCAGCCGCCAGCAGCGGCTCTTCACCGGTGCTCTTTTTCCAGAAGTGCTCAACGCACAACTCTTTGCCTTCGCCGCGCGGCATCACCTGAAGAGTAACGTGTGGGTGCCACGGAAGGCCTTCGACGCGGCACTGAAGCCGTACAACGTTTTCGTGTTGCCCAACGCGGCTCTCTGTGACGTGTCCCTCACCCCTGGCGGTGGCGCGGTGGAAACAACGGAGGCCATCGGCACCGATCTTGTGCTGGTGAACGCGCAGCACACCTCCAACCAGAAGTTCATGGAAGAGTTCCGCGACTTTTTGGTGTCACGATTGACGACGCCGGTGCTGCCAAGGGATGCCATCACCTCTCTCTTCCTCCCCCAGACGTTCGCGGCTGAAGCTGCGGGGCGACTGGATGCAAAACCCTACAAATACATAGGTGTGACATTTACGCAACTCGACGACCGAGCGAAGGGTTGCGCTCGAGAAAAGGATTTCTTCAGTGCCGCAGACCAACTAAGCGCCAAAGCTGAAACCGACGCGGCGAACGCATGCGCTGACTTCACGCAACAAGACCAGCAGCCACAACCGCGACAGCCAGTCCCCATTCTGCAGCCCGAACCGCTGTGGGACAGGCTACCGCCCTTCCAGTATCCTCTCGCGCTCAACGGGTCGCTTTTGATGGGGGCGGAGGTTGCGAGACGGCTTTTGGCATTGCAAAAGCAGGGGCGCTTCTACAGCAACTACTGGCGACGCCTGCGCAGTCCCACGGCGAAGCTGCAGAGTTTTTTCTACACCGGCCAGACAGAATACGCGGGGCGGTACAACCCGTTTTATTGTGTCCGCTACGTTCCGCACAACTACACAGGGCGACCCTTTCCGTTGGACATTGCACGTCTCATGCGACACCGTGCGGTGGAGTACGGCTACGTGTCCCGGATGTGGCTGACCCGGCGGCAGGGCGAGGAGCTCTTTGGCACGACGCTGCTCCCAGAGCACGCGCACGACTTCCCAGTGGTGTGTTGCAACTTCCACAGTGGTGGACTCGAGTCGATTGCGTACTACTGCGCTGATCAGTTCGCCCACAGCGAGGATCTGTTCCCCACGCAGCGAGAGATTGAACTGGCCGCGAAAGGGGTGTGGATTCCATCCACGAAGATTGCCGCTTTCCCGCTGCTGCGGCAGCTGCAGGAAAAGTACACAACCGAGACGACACCCGTCAGCAGCGACCGCAGCGGCATGGATTTGGCGAAGCAGGACGCCAACCGACACACCGAGTTCTGCCAACGAACCGAGGCGTACAGCGCGATCCGCCTCGTTGGTTTCGACCAGGACAAGGGGGATAAACATATCCGCGCAGCTCACCTCGGCAAAGCGTTGCATCGTCAGTGTGTCCTCTGCGGCTACCCGACGCCGGTGTTTATCTCTCATCGCACGCTGATCAATTTCAATCTAGCGGTAAAAGACGGCGAGGAGGGGGTCGTGCAGCTGCAGTGCCCCGTGAAGCTACCGTATGACAACGCCTGGACGAACGGCGAGTGTTGGTTTAACATTGCCCAGATGCGTGAGCCCGCGGTGGGCGCAGAGCTGATGGAGCACTGGCCGCGGCACTTTCTCACACGCCGGCGCCTCAACAGAAATTTGGCAGCGCAATGCTGCCGCCTTCAGATTGCAGAGCGAGCCCGCACGGCAATGGCGACGCCTGCGGAGCGCAACACCACAGATCCAGCCGCTGCTGCGGCTCTTGACTCAGAGTGGGTGCCTTTGTATATGATTGAGGCTGCTGGCTGGAAGCTACGTCCAGGAGCCGCGGGTGTGCGATACGTTCCTAACCACGATGGCGAAGACTTCACACGCTACTACGTTGGTAAGAACATTATGTTCCGCGTGGCGGACGTCTGCCTCGACGCCTCAATTGTAGCGTGGATGCGGCGGTACACACCCATCAACGCGCAGTGTCACCCGTACCTGCGTGGGCTTCGACAGTTGCTCACGCTGCGCGCCTACGAACGAGGTTACCAGTCACAAACTTGGGTGGCTTTCCCAGATGTGCAAGCAACGGCCGCATCCCTGCCAGTTCGTCTCACCCCGAGCCCAGTTCGTGCGGGCATCACGCCGCTGGCCACGAGCCGCTTCCAGTTTTCGCAGCCGCCCTTTGTGCGCCTTCGCGATTTGGTGTTTGTGAACAAAGAGGAACTCGCACCGCCACTTTGGCAGGCAGCTCGCGGGCACAACGGCGTGAGCGACGCAGCAATGGGTGGTGGTGCTGCCGCAGCCGCGTCGGACGAGCCGGATGCGCCGCTGCGGCGCATGAATGCGGCTACGAGGGCGATGGTGGAGGACGGCGTTGGAATTTCCGCAGAGGCGTTCTTGACGGGGGCGGCACAGAGTCGCATGCAACGACCATCGAGCACGCCGACGCTGCCCACAGGGACGCGACTCCCCATCAGCGACACCGATGATGATGATGGTGGTGCGGATGCTGTAGAGGACGTCTTGGACGACGACGACGATGTTGGCGAGTTGCCCTATGAGGGCAGCGAAGCGTAAACTCCAGCGGAACTGTTTGTGGGTGTACCGCCTCGCAGGTGCTCTGGCTCTCTCTCTCCCTTTCTGGGTGGGAGCGCTCACTTTTCTCGTGTAGTATTCCGCGGTCATTTGCGTCCTTTTTTCTTCCTTTTTATCGTCGGCGTTCTGTTCAGCGATATGCTGCTACCTTGTAAGCTGCTCTGTCTTTCGACGATTTAACCTTCTTTTCAATTTCATCGGCGATACTGCCGGGAAAGAATAAGAGCTCCAATCTCATAGAAAAACGAAGAGCGTGAGCTGTATGGAGGAGGATGGGAGGCAAGGACGCTTCAGTGCAACGACACTGCGCGAGCTGCCGAGTCTGCCACCTCGAGGCGAGAACAGACAACCAATGGTTTACGTATGCCTGTCCGAGAAGAAGGTGCTGACGTGCGTGCTTTTCGTTGCCGGTGCTCATCGTATTAGGTACATGAAAGTGGCGAAGCTCCTTTTTTCGAGCTAAAGCGCGCAGGCTTTTTCGAGCTCTTCGAATGCGCTGTGTTCGTCCTCGCTTCACCGATTGGGGTTTTCTTCCCTTTCCCTTTCTCCCTTTGGATTCACCGCCACCGCACACCCACCCATCGTCGCACCGAAGCAGAAGCTCCTCCTTCATCTTTATACATGCAAGGACTTCAAGAGGGAGAGTAAAGTTTTTTATTTCTTTTGGTCGAATCCGAATAACTGCTTCTTGCCGAACTTCTTCGTCATAACACAAGCTGAGAACTGCGCTGTTCTTGCTACAACTGTGAGTACGTGCGAGGAGTAGAGAATAAAGGACGACCTCGAAGGCATAGAAAACGAAGAGAAAGTAGAAGAAATGGCCCCCGTCAACGGTCGCAAGCGGCGCCGTGCACATGAGGACGGCGACGACGCTGGGGCGGCCCCCGCGCCCGCACCGCACCGTGTCGAGGAACCACGGGAAGAGGACGACAACGTGGACGACGACGAGGCGGACCACTCCTCCGCCGGTGAGGCCGAGGATGAGGAGGGCGAAGACCTTTACGGCGATAACTTCATGCAGGACTACCTCGAGCCGGACGAGGAGAGCGAGGTGCCGGAGGACGAGGTGGAGGACAACGACTGGATCGCGGACGACGAGAGTTCAGTGTCCGAGATCTCCGAAAGCGGCCGCCTCGCCGTCGATGAGCTCCTGGAGCGCCGCCGTCAGAAGGAGGAGGCCCTCGCCGAGGAGCGCCGACAGCTGCAGGAGGGCATCTTCAGCGACGTGGACAATACGGACGAGGAGGAAGAAGATGAGGAGGACGAGGTAGCAGTAGAAGAGGGTGAAGGCAACGACGGAGGCGGTGCGTCGCGGAGAGTTGGTGGCGGTGGCGGTGAGGGCTGCAACGGGACGTCTGCGCGTCCGGGCGACGACGGTGCGGGCGACGAGATCGACGGCTACGGCGACCCGAACGACGACGCGTACGTGCGGGGCGATTTGGAGGCCATGAACTTCAACTGGCGACAGCCGCAGGGCGAACTTGTGGAGTGGCTCGCGCAGGAGCTGCCGCGGCGTGTCATTAAAAATCGCATCTACAACTTTTACCACAACTACATCGTGAACGACGTCAGCGTGTACGAGGAAAAGGTGAATGCGATGACGCGGGAGAACGACATGAGTTTCCAGCTCAGCTACGATCACTTGAGCCGGGTGTATGACAGTGTGCTGGCGCTGTGGCTTGTGGACGCGCCAGACCCAATGATTGAGCTGCTGGAGGAGGCGGCGAACTACTTTACCTTCAAACTCTACCCGCAGTACCGGAAGGTTCACGCGCACGTCTTTGTGCGTGTCTGCGACCTGCCGCTCTGCGACCCCATTCGCGACTTCCGTCAGATTCACATGAACGTGCTGGTGCGAGTGGAAGGGGTGGTGATCCGCCGCTCCCCTGTGTACCCGCAGATGGACGCCGTGAAGTACGACTGCGTGCGCTGCTCGTTTATTATTGGGCCGATTTACCAGCGCGGGGACAAGGAGCAGCGGGTGAGCATGTGTCCCAGCTGCCACAGCAAGGGACCATTCCGCGTCAACATGCGCCTCACCGAGTACCGCAACCACCAAACAGTTGTGCTGCAGGAGTCCCCCGGCAAGGTGCCACCGGGTCGCCTGCCACGCAGCCTTGAAGTTGTCCTCACGAACGACCTCATCGACCTGGCAAAGCCGGGCGAGGAGGTGGATGTGACGGGGATTTACCGCAACAACTTCGACCCCCTCCTCAACAGCCGCCAGGGCTTCCCGGTTTTTACGACGGTGCTGCACGCGAACAACGTGATTCGCCGCACGACGGAGCTCGGCATGTTCCGCCTGCCTGATGATGAGCGCCAGCGCATTATGGAGCTGAGCAAGTCGCCGAACATACGCCGGAAGCTGCTGCGGTCCATCGCCCCGAGCATTCACGGCCGTGACGATATTAAGCTGGGGCTGCTGCTCGCTATGATGGGCGGCGTCCCCAAAGACATCGGCGGTGACCAGTCGCACCGCATCCGCGGCGACATCAACGTCCTCATGGTGGGCGACCCCGGCTGCGCCAAGTCGCAGTTCCTGAAGTTTGTCGAGAAGACGGCGGACCGGACGGTGTTTACGACCGGCCGCGGCTCCACCGCCGTCGGTCTGACAGCCTCCGTGCACAAAGACAGCGTCAACGGCGACTTTGTGCTGGAGGGCGGTGCGCTGGTGATCGCAGATCGCGGCTGCTGCCTCATTGACGAGTTCGACAAAATGTCCGATCAAGATCGCACCTCGATCCACGAGGCGATGGAGCAGCAGACTATCTCGGTGGCGCGCGGTGGCATCGTCACGACGCTGTCGGCGCGCTGCTGCATCATTGCCGCGGCCAATCCGATGGGCGGCCGCTACGACCCCTCCACCTCCTTTGACGCCAACGTGAACTTGACGACGCCGATCCTGTCGCGTTTTGACCTGCTCTTTGTTGTGCGGGACGAGGTGAACGTTGAGCTGGACGAGCGCCTGGCGTCGTTCATCTGCGACTCGCACATGCGCAACCACCCCCGCACGCAGGAGGAGACACGACAGTTGGAGCGCGATCGCCACGAGGAGCTTTCAAGACTGCGGTACGCGCTCGAGAACGCCTCGACGGAGGGCGAGCGGGCAGAGTACGAGGAGCGCCTACGACACCTGCGTGAGAGCATCGAGGACCGCTCCCGCTTCGAGGACGAGGACCCGAACAGTGACAAGCCGCTGCCGCAGTCGCTGCTGCGCAAGTACATCTTGTTCGCAAAGAGCCACTGCTTTCCGCGCATCTCAAACGTGGACCCCGACACGATTGCGCGGCTCTACGTCGAACTGCGTCAGGAGTCGAAGCACGGCGGCATCGCCATTACAGTGCGCCACATGGAGTCGGTCATTCGCCTGTCCGAGGCACACGCCCGCCTGCATCTGCGCGAGTTCGTGACGGACGAGGACGTCACCGCCGCTGTCTCCCTCTTCCTCCGCTGCTTTATTAATACCCAGAAGTACAGCCTGCGCAACGCGATGGAGGCGAACTTCCGCAAGTTTCTCGAGTCGGACACGGAGAGTCTGCCGCTCATTCGCCATCGCATTAAAGTGGCGGTGCAGACGGTGCGGCACTTCGAGCGGCAGCTGTCGGGTGGGGTCGAGCCGACACAGGTGCGCATCGACGTGGCCGAGCTCGACCACTACACGAGCAACATATCGCAGGAGGCACTGAATGTGTTTTACACCAGCGCTGAGTTCCGCAGAGAGTACCGACTTATTCGCGACCCAGTCACGCACGTTCCTCTGCAAATCGAGCACACCCTGGTCTAATTGCCGTCGGGGAGGGAAAAAGAGAAAGAAAAAACTACGATGATTGTATGCGCGTGGGGTTCAGTACTGTCATTCGGTGTCAGTGTTGCAGTCGCTGCGCGGTCTAGGTTTTTTTTTCTTAAGACGTTACATAGAAGTTTGCATGCATAGAAAAATACATGCTCTGGGAAGAGAGAGTTGCATAGATGATAATAAGCACCCTTTTGTGGTCTTTTGGCTGCATGCCTCTTTTTCTTTGAAAATCACCTTTGCTGCTCCGTCAAGTTACGTCTTCAATCACAGGTCACACGCGAACTCTAATGAACGCGTCTTACGGGTTTCTTAAAGACACATTCCCGCTGAACACACGTAATGCTTTACAAGAAAAAGGAGTCATTTTTTCTGACAGTGGGTTGGTGCGCTGTGACATTCGTGTTGCTGCTGAAAAGCGTTCGTCTTAAGCCTTTTTTTTTTGAGGTCGTTGTCGAGTAGGTGCAATCTTTTGTCCGCGGCTACTGTGGCTTTTCTGATCTATTTCACAACTTCTACACGCCACCGCGTCTTTTCCTCTTCTGCGGCTCTCGAGGGCGTCTTTTCACTGCTCTGATTTCGTCTTCCCTCAATCCGTGTTCTCCCTTGTTTTCTCTCCTCTCTCTTTCTATCGACGCTTCATTTACTCCGAACTTCTCAACGACTGATGTTTGCCTTTTCTGATCTCTTTGTAGATACCGCAACGGCGGCGCCATGGATCGGATTCACGTGGAGCTGTCCCCCGATGGTGCGGTGACGCGCCGACCTGTGGTGAACGCACATGTGACAGAAGAGGAAGAGCGGCAACGCGCCTCGAGAGACGAATACTACTACCACAGTCAGGAACCATACTCTCCAGACAACGTGGCGAATTACTCAGCGGAAGCGATGTTAGAAGTAGAGCTGGACGCAATTCTACGAGGAGATCAGACGGCGAGATGGCGCAGTGTGCATCGCGGTGCGGCAAGCGTGAAGACAGAAGCCGTCTCAACGCTGCAGCCACCTCCTCCTTTAACCGTACTGACTTCTCGGCAAACTTCACCAACACCAGAAGAGCAAACTCGCACTCTTAAAGGCGTGCTGGACCATGGCAGCTCGTCGATGTCGCACTCTGAAAACAGACGCACCCGACGATCAGCGATGCGGCACAGCATCGACCGCTTCTTTGCCAGTGAGGAACGAGACGAGAGTGCCGTGGAGGGTGTTGAGGAAGGGACGGAGGACTTTTCGGTGAGCCGCCGCTCCAACCCCGACGCGCCGTCCGTGCTCTCTCCATCCTCAGCGGCATCGCCGGCGCAGGCGGAAAGCGGAAGTCTCGTGGAGGTTACTCCAACTACAGGGAGCCCGCCGCGCGCATTGTTCATCCAAAGCAGACGCAAAGCAACCGGCAGCACCGTCGGCACAGAAAACGGAGAGCGTAGAGTTTCCTCGCTCGGTAACTCGTCCGGTGGTGTTCAAGAGGTCGGCAGGCGTACGCGCAACGTCCTGCAGAGCATCACTGTCAATACCATCATACCGATGTCGCCAGAGTCGCTCACGAAGCGGTCCTCTGCTAAACCGTTAGGTCGAGGCAAGCACACACACGTGTCTTCTCCGCAAGCGGACGAGGCGGCGTGCTCGCGCTGCGACGACGCCGGCGCTCATCTCTTTCGCTCTCCCCCCGACGCCGTGCAACAACTCATGCGTGGCGCGGAGGTTACGGTGACGTGCGATGCGTGCGACTCGTCTCTGAGCCTGGTCGTGCTTTGCCCCTCCAATTCACTCCCTTCTGTGCGGTTTTGCCCCCTGTGTGGTAGCGCCGTTGCCTCGATGCGTGTGCTAGTGTTGTGGACATGCTAGACGGGTTTCATTACACGATGCTTTTTTGTTTTGTGTTTGTAAGCAACGCATCTTTCTTTCTTTCTCTGTTTGCTCCCACACACACCTCTACACTAGATGCTCTCACTAGATTCTTTTACTGTTTTTGTCAGCCTCTTTTTTTTGTGTCTTAGCCGTTCCCTCTAGATGGATGTGGTGAAAGCTGCCGTCGCTACAGCGTCAAACAACCAAGACCTTCAAAATTGAGAAATCGAGCGGTCGCGCAGCACGTGAGGACGGAACAGCGGCAATATGCTCTCTGTTATCCTCATCATTATTATTTTTACTGTAAAGGATGAATCCTGAAAACCCGAATGGGGCTTCCAACGTAGCAGAGGCTGAAAGATTGCATTTGATTCGACTCCCTCCTCACTTTCCCCCTCCTACCTTGCTGCTGTCAAAGATATCAACATCGTCAAAAGGAACTCGTTTTGTTTTTGGAGCGGCGTGCGAGTCTCTGCGCCTCAGGAACGTCACATTCAGAATAAGCGGAAGAGAGAGAGAGAGGGCGCCATGTTTCTCCGTTCTCTAGTCAGTTGGGCCTACGGCTACGTGAAGGGCGTGGCCAAACAGTACCTCTACAACGAAACGCTGGGGTTAGCGCAAGAGATGCTGCTGGCCGACAGCATCAGCGATGCCGCGGAGCTTTTCATCGGTGCCGCTTCGAAAGGTGGAGAGTCCTTCTGGATGGACTTTATCTTGGTTCTGAGTGTGTTGATCATCGTGCTGATGATGACGACGTGCGTGGTACGGTTTTCCATCTGGATCTGCATCGGCATTCCACTGGCCGCGCGCGATCTCGAGCAGATCCGTGCGGGCAAGAAGGACTACCAGATTCAAGCCGCGCGAGAGAAGGAAGAGCGCAAGAAGCGCGTCGAGAACGGCGAGGAGGAGGCTTTCGTGCCCCCAGAGAAAGACCTGCAGGAGGTCTCGGAGTTGCTCGCCAAGATGCGGCAAGAGCAGGACAAGAAGCCAGGCGAGGCCGACAAAACGAAAGAGCAGGGGAAGGAGGTGACCTTCACGCCCACGTCGCGACGCCCGGCGCAGAACGCACGCGCGACGCCCGCGTCTATTCTTCGCGGATTCCCTGAGGTGGACTTTATGGCCACCTCCCCCGGCCAGAAGTACTTCCTCGTGGGGTGCCGCAGCAAGCGTAGGACCTCGCTGTACCCGCAGAGCGACGCCACGGCCTTCATGGAGCGGGGAAAAGAGTTGCAGGAGAAGCACTTCACCGACGTCAACGCTACGGTCACCACCGCCGTGGGACTTGAGCAGAAGGCGGAGATCTTTGCGGCCAGCTTTTCCGCAGACGACGCCCGCCTCGTCGTAGGGGAGCGCTTCACCGACAAGTTTGTCTGCTTCACCTTGTCAGGCCGCACCAACGTGAGTCTCGTGTTGTTGTGGTCTATGAAGCTGCCGGGACACCGCCTCGTGTCCTCCGTGCCACGCTGGGCCCCGCTTGGCACCGCTGGCATCCTCAGCATTGTCGACGCGGCCGCCGAGGTGGAGGCGATCACGCGCGGCCCTGCGGAGACGGCGACGGCGCACAAGGAGAAGTTTAAGGTGGGCAGCGCGCTGGCCTGGGCGGTGAGCGACGACCGCGTCGCCATCGGTGGCGCCTTTCTGCGGGAGCCGCGCCTCGCCCGCGTGGTGCAGCGCCCCTCTAGTGCTGGCATCGCCTTGGAGACCTACGTTGTGTTTCCCAACCCACAGAAGCTGCGTGTGACGGCGCTGGCCTTTGTGACGCCTAATGCACCCGAGTTCAACACGCGGAGCTACATGATTGTGTTTACAGAGAACGGCGTGGGCACGATCTACGACCTGGGTTCCCTCGCATCGCAGAACACGCCGCAGGCCGTGTGCACCTTTGCCGACACTGACTTTGCTGAGTACCGCAGCAATGCGCCGGTGCGCATCATCACCGCCGTGCGTGGCAAGGCCTACCACGAGGTGTTGCGCGTGGCCCTCGTTCGCGGTTCGAACGTGTCCGTGTACGAGCAGCGCGGAAAGGCCACAGATGGCGTCTTCCAGCTCATTCGCATTACGGACATTTTTGACGCGCAGGAGGGCGACATGATTCGCAACGCGGCGTTTTTGCAGAACGGTTTGGGGCTGGCGACGTGCGGCAACGCGGACGGCCGTCATGTTCGCATGTTCACCCTTCCCGCCGAGGGCAAGACCGCGTGATTCAATGCAATTGGCTCCTCTTATTATAAAAAAAAACAAAAGGGAAAATCAAACTTCCAATTTGAGTTTATTTGCTGTTGCAGCTTCATCTCTTCTACACCGTTGTGGTCACTTGATTGTGGCTTTTTGAGATGGTGCGTTCCGTGGGTCTGTTGTGCGATAGAAGCACGACGCTTCCAGATGAAGACGGCCAGCCACGTAGATCTTCCCGGTTTACGTAATTCGTCTTTTTGCTCGTTTTGCTTCGTCACACAGCGACGATTTGAAACCAAAATGGAGTTAAAACAAAAAAAATAGTTAGGAAGTCGGCAGCAGATGCTGTTTTGCACGACACTTTACTTCATCTAGAGCGTTTTTTTTGTTTTGTTGGTGCTGCGTGTAAAGACGAGTACAACGACAGCTCTTGCAGAAGCCCGCTGACGAATGTAACCCATTTCATGATTTTTTTTTCTGTTTCCCACTCTTCTGTTGTTGTGCCTCAAGCACCTTTGCAGGTACGGCACACTGTTTTTCGCCTTCGCTTTAACAGCTGTTCCTTTCTCACCTCGCGTTGCCAACGCTTCTCTGTTTCTCTCTCTCTCCTCTCTCTTTCTCTCTCCCTCTATTTTTCCTTTTTCGGATATACTCCAACTTCTCATGAACCAGAACTTTCATGTGGGTGGCTGGTAGTTGCATTCTATACGTTGAGCACTGGGTTGCACTTTGATATTCTGCGTGTCAAACTTTCAAAAGAGTGAAGACGTTAACGTTTTGAATCCAAAACATTAATCGTGTGAATGCGCTTGAGTTCACCCAGCTAGTTGTGCACCATGAAGTTTAATCCACATTCCCGCATGAAAGCACGGAAGCGTATCTCGTTCAACTCAAACCGGAACAAGGTACGCTTCATCCACGTTCCTCCACGCTCGCAGAATAAGAAGTTTTGGTTCACGGAGACGCAGCGCGTGGTGAAGAAAGGCCTCAACTTTGAGGTGGAGCCGGAGATAATGATCGAGGTGAACATCGAATGCCGGATGCAGATCACCGCAATGGCGCGGAAGCCGCCGTCGCACGCTGCCAAAGCTGCGGCCACGGCTGGGCTGGCGAAGGGTTCTTCATTAGTGATGACGTCGTCATCGCAGCGCAGTTTTGTGGAAGTTCAGGAGACGAACTCACTGTTTTGCTGTGATGCGCGTGGGCAGGACCGGTGGCAGTGCATAGGGTCAGTGGGGGCGAGTGAAATGAAAAAGGTTTTAGTGACGATGCCGCCGGGCACGTACCGGATGCGCTGCGTTGGCGGTGGCTCGGTGCAGCTCTTTGCGCAGGCGTGGGACATCGAACGAGAGCTGATCTAAGCGAAAGGCGAGTTTTCTTGTTGGAAACACCTCGTCGTTAATGTGTTGGGTGCCGGCGGATTTGTGTGTGCGTATTCAGCTGCAGTGTTGTGCTTGAGACGCATGTGCTCTTTCTTTTTTTTTTCTTCTCTTGGGGGTCAGAATAAGGTGTGGGATTACTGCGAGAGGAAGTGGTGTATCACAATCGATATTGCGCCGTTAAGGTAACATAATGAAAAAAAGAACAGTAACCTCCCACCTTATTAGGAGCACTGATGAGCAAGCAAGAGTTGGGAGATGACAGATGCGATTGTAACTAAGTTGTGTGTTGCTATGCTCGTCTGCATACACACAGGCGCAAGGACGTCTGTACACCGCGGTGGAAGCCGAGGACAGAGCATTGTTGCGGACCGCCCTTCACTGCCCGAAGTGGATTCTTTATATGAACAAATCTACCCGGCGCTCACGTTCCCTCAGAGAAGCTTCCGTCTCCGCTTGGGAAATTGACATGGATGCGGTGTGATCGACGGCACACACACACACATGTATAAAAGAATCGACGCCCCTTCTTTCACTTGATTCCACAGAGGCGCATTCATGGATGCGTTCATTTCGCACTGCTTCCTGCTCTTCCTGCTCTTCCTGGTCTTGCTATCTCGATCCTTTTATTATTATTTTTTCATAACTGCGTGAATGCGTACACCTTCTCCTTTTTGTTGTTGCTGTTCCAACAATACAGTAAACACCACACGTCGAAATAGAGCATCACACTCAACGCCACCGAGTCCGTTCCACCGACAGAGCACATCCGTGAAAATCAGTCTACTGTGTTTTCTAGTGAACTCTCCTCTCTTTGCCTCCCGTCTGTGCTGAGTCGCACAAGCATACAATCTCCAATAAGCGTAAACGCGTTTTTTTTTCTTTCTTTGGAAGGTTCGTCCCAACGTTATAGACCCTTCGTGGCGCGCACGTCCCTTATTTAGAGCTCCACTCCATCCAGTCCTTCACACACGTTGGCTGCGAGTGGTTGGATGTCTCTTGTTTCGACATATAGAAAAAACTTTCTCTTCTCTTTGTTCCGTTCTGCAGATACCTCAACTTCTTCAACTCCGGCTTTTGCTACGCAAACGGTTTTTCTCGTCGTTTCTCTATAGACTCCATCACTCTCCTTCTTTTCTTTTGCTTACCATCCTGAAAAGGGATCTTCTGTTGTGCTTCGCCGATCAACTCCATCGCCATGTCCGATCCTTCCCTGACTGTCGTGAATCGCAAGGGCGAGGTGCAGGTGTATGATGCCAATAAAGTCCGCCGCCGCTTCGAGAGTGTGCTGGGCGGTCTCGACAGCAGCAACCTCGACATCAACATGCTCACAGAGAACGTGACGCGTGGCCTCACTGATCAGATTGGCTGCGAGCAGCTGGAGGAGTTGATTGCGCAGACGGCGGCGTACTCCGTCACGAAGCACCCCGATTACGGTCGCATGGGCGGCCGCCTCTGCACGTCGGCGTTGCACAAGACCACAAACCCGTCGGTGCTGGAGACGTTCCGCCTGCTGCACGACCACGTCACACTGCAGACCAAGAAGGCTTCGCCGTTGATTGCCGAAGACGTCTGGGAAGTCGTCCAGGCGCACAAAGACGAGCTGCAGGAGATGATCGATTACTCGCGTGATATGAACTTCGAGTTCTTCGGCTTCAAGACACTGGAGCGCTCCTACCTGCTGCGCGTCGAGACGAAGCGTGGCGAGATGCGGATTGTGGAACGTCCTCAGCAGCTGTTCCTGCGTGTCGCTCTCGGCATCCACCTCGCTGACATGAATAACGTGCGTGCGACGTATGACCTGATGTCGCAGGGCTTCTTCACGCACGCCACGCCCACCCTCTTCAATGCCGGAACGCCGAAGCCGCAGATGAGCTCGTGCTTCTTGGTCGCTTCGAAGGAGGACAGCATCGATGGCATTTACGATACCCTGAAGGAATGCGCCGTCATCAGCAAAGCGGCGGGCGGCGTTGGCCTGCACGTGCACAACATCCGCGCCGCTGGCAGCTACATTGCCGGCACGAACGGTACGTCGAACGGGCTTGTGCCGATGCTGCGCGTGTTCAACAACACCGCTCGCTACGTGGACCAGGGCGGCGGTAAGCGCAAGGGTGCCTTCGCCGTGTATCTGGAGCCGTGGCACGCCGATATCTTCGGCTTCATGCTGCTGAAGCGCAACACCGGCAAGGATGACCAGCGCGCGCGTGACCTCTTCTACGCCCTGTGGGTGCCTGATCTGTTCATGAAGCGCGTGGAGAACGAGGGGAAGTGGACGCTGATGGACCCGCACACGTGCCCGGGCTTGAGCGACTGCTACGGTGAGGAGTTTGAGCGCTTGTACGAGCGCTACGAGGAGGAGGGCCGCGGCGTGCAGACCATTGCGGCCCAGGATGTGTGGTTCGCTATCCTCGAGTCGCAGGTGGAGACAGGTGTGCCGTTCATCCTGTTCAAGGACGCGTGCAACAGCAAGTCGAACCAGAAGAACCTCGGCACGATCAAGTGCTCGAACCTGTGCACGGAGATTATTGAGTACACGTCGCCGGAGGAGACTGCCGTGTGCAACCTCGCCTCCATCGCGCTGCCCCGCTTCGTCGACATGGAGAACAAGCGGTTCGATCACACGCACCTCTACAAGGTCACGAAGCAGATCACCCGCAACCTGAACCGTGTGATTGACCGCAACTACTACCCCGTGGAGAACGCGCGCCGCAGCAACATGCGCAACCGCCCCATCGGCCTCGGAGTACAAGGTCTGGCCGATGCATTCATCCTGCTACGTCTGCCCTTCGCGAGTGAGGCGGCGCAGACGTTGAATACAGAAATCTTCGAGACGATCTACTTCGCTGCCGTGGAGGCATCGATGGAGATGGCGCAGGAGGAGGGTCCCTACGAGACCTTCCCGGGCAGCCCGGCCAGCCGGGGTATTCTGCAGTTCGACATGTGGAAGAACCCTCGCCCGAACAGCGGGCGCTGGAAATGGGACGCCCTCAAGGAAAAGGTGGTGGAATTCGGCATGCGCAACTCTCTGCTGCTCGCCCCAATGCCCACGGCGTCCACCTCGCAGATTCTCGGCAACAACGAGTGCTTCGAGCCCTTCACCTCCAACATCTACGTGCGCCGTGTGCTGAGCGGCGAGTTCCCGGTGGTCAACAAGTACCTCGTGATGGACCTGATCGCGCTCGGACTGTGGGATGAGCGGATGCGCAACGAAATCATCACCTTCAACGGATCTATCCAGACGATCGAAGGCATTCCCGACGACCTCAAGGAGCTCTATCGCACCGTGTGGGAGATCCCGCAGCGTACGCTGATCGACATGGCCCGTGACCGCGGCCAGTACATTGACCAATCGCAGTCGTTGAACCTGTTCCTACAGAGCCCTTCCTCTGGCCAGATCACATCAATGCTCTTCTACGCGTGGAAGTGCGGACTGAAGACGGGTATGTACTACCTGCGCACGAAGGCGGCAGCCGACGCGATTAAGTTTACGGTTGACGCCAAGCGAATGAAGGAGGTTAAGGACCTTGAGAACTCGCAGGTGCGCTCGTCGCAGCGTGGGTCGCAGCAGCCGGAGGAATGCGTGAACTGCGGGTCTTAAAGAAACGCATGCTATACAGCGTACGTTAGTTTTCTTGCTCGAGAGGCGGGAATGCTAACGGAGAAAGGGAGTAGGGTGCAAAAGGTGTTCGTTGCAGGGTGCGAAAGCGGCGCTTTTCATCGCCCTACTCTGTCTCATCTATTATAGAGGAACTTTCTTTGATTAATCCCTTCTTTTGTGCTTGTTCTCGAGCAGCGTTTTTTTCCCCGTTCCCCCACTTTCATTATTGTTTCTTTGTGAAGATTCTGCCTTTTTTTTCCTTGAGGGGCGCTGCAAGGAGGAACTCTGCGTTCTTAGAGCGTTTTGCGTGCTTGAGGCGATGCAGCAGGAAACCGCAAGGACAGGGTCTTCTGTCCCGCGCTGGAGGAAAGAAGAGCCGAGGAACATGGCAGGATGCCGTGAGGTGCTTCAACTCACGCTCTCTTTCCTTTCACTCTTCTGTTCTTCCTCCTCCCCTCCTCCCAATAGCAGGATAGCAATTTCTGTTCAAAGGTGGCACAGTTCGTTGCTTGTTCGCAACTGCTTTATCAGACGTGTGAAGGAAACAGCGAGAAAGATGTGTGTGTCTTCACATTCATCGTTTCCTTTTTTGTTCTTCTACATGTTTTCCTCTTCGTGCTGTCAGTCTCTATTTATATCTGCCTTGACGTGCTACCCTTTTTGCTCTCCACCGTTTACGTTGAACGCTGGGCTGAAGACAGATTTTTTTCTTTTCTTTTAGGCACTTCGCTCTTCTTTTTGTGTTTCTTCTTCTTTTGATTCATGGTATTCATGCGCCCGTATATAAGCGCGTAAATTGGACAACGAACGCAACACCCGTGGTAGCTCTCCGCGTCTCACGATGCTGTGCGAGATTCGCTTCCGTCAAAGGTTCGTGCTCACTTGCTTGCTGGCGCCGACTGCGTGCTGTCAATGTCCCATGCATCTCTTACGTTTCTGTACAGCGCACGAGCAGCAGCAGCGGCGACGTATATGCGCGACGCAATGGAATGGAGGCAGCGCAAAGAGGACCGTTGAAAGGGAACCAAAATTTGCTCAGATTGTAATGAATGCGGCGGTGAGAACAACGCGGTTTGCCTTGCTTCACGTGTGCTGGGATCTTGGTTACCTTCACAACCTGAATTATTTTTTTTTTAGAGATCGAATGCTTCTTGTTTCAACCTCTTTTCTTTTCTGTATGCACGTGCGCAACATGCTGATTTGATGAACACACGCAGCGCTTGCTATGGTTTTCACTGCATCTCATTTACTTGAGCAAACAAACAAACAAACGCTCTCACGATCAAGTGCGGCGAGCACCTCTAGACCGACGCTCGCACGTGCGCACAGCTTCGCTGCCAGTTTCAGCGTCTTCTCTTAGATCTTACTTAAATCGTTGACGCTCTCTTTTAGACCTTTTCCTATCAATGAGCCGGCAGGCAGCGCGCTCGTCAGCGGCGGAGCCGTCGTCGCTTCACGAGCGACCCATTCCCGAACTGCGAAGCGAAATAAAAAAGTTAGAAAGCATTCTGGAGGACCGCAAACTATTGTTTGTGGATCTATGCGAAATGAGCGGGACGTCGACAGCGGTGACACCTGGAACTGGTGCGTCCCCAAGTCTGCCCCGGATCGCGGCTGCGTCCGACGACCTGGCCGCCGAGGCGCGTCAACTCGCTGCCCGCAACGCCTTCCTGACGAGCGAGATTGCAGTGCTGGAGTCGATGGAGCGGCAGTTCGCCAGCGACCCGCGCGTGCTCGATAAGCGGAATGAGGTGAAGCTGGTCAGGATGCAGATCGCACAGGTGGAGCGTGATATTGCCACCTTGCAGACGGTAAAGAAGCGCCGCGATGTCGGCTTGCGGGCCATTGGCAGGTCCGAGGAGCAGGTACGCCGTGCGCGTGGTCAGCAGCAAGAGGTGAACACCGAGCTGCGCGAAGAGGTGCGGCAGCTCACGGAAGAGCTGCGAGGGCTGGAGAGGACGGACATCGACACGCACGAGCGGTATGCGCGGCTGCAGGACCAAATAAAGCTGTCGGTGACGGATAACGATGTACAGGCGCTGCGTGACGAAGTAACAAAGCTCGAGGCGGATATCGAGAGTCTGTTGGCGAAGGAGGCGGCGGTGCGGGAGAAACGGGCGTCTGCGCGGGACGAGGATCACCGCAGCATCGTGAAGACCCGCCGAGAGTGTGCCGCGATGGAGGAGGAGGAGGCTCGACTGCGGAATGTGCTGATGCAGAAGGATTTGGAGCTGAAGCGCAGCTACCAGGCTGTGGGCCGCCTTAGCATTTTGGACCGTTAGGACACTTTCAAACCCTCTGCCACGGAGTAAATTTTTCTCTTCACGTGCTTCGCTGCTTTTTTGCTTTTAGAGGTGCTCTTCGTTGAAGAGCTTCCAAAGAGAAAAATAAACGGAGTTGGGCAGGTGTTCCGTTGACGATGCGAACCCGAGGCTTTCGTTGGAGCGATAAAATTGCTTCTGCCCGCAAATCGGTGCGTTTCTAGAGTCTCTACTCCTTCAAAATGGTGCGCCTCGTCCGACGAAGAAAAATATATATGTGCAGCTGCATCTTAGCTCTCTTCGAAAGGCATTTCTGTTTGCTTTTTTTCCCCCCTTTACGCTCCGCTTTCCTGCTCTTCTTTTCTTTCTTTTATTCACTTTGTATCTGCCGTTTGTCGTCTTCGCCTTCCGCGATTGCCGCCTTTCATTCCGTGTTGGTAACGCATTCGTTTTCACGCGCCGTCACACTGTGGGACTATATCACTTCTTTCGAGCACCGACGAAGCCTAGCTGCGAAGCGGAGTACGTGTGCGTAACACAGACTCACCACCAACATCTCGCTGGCGTACGCACGCGCACGTTTCAGGACACGGCGAAGGGCGCCTTCCCGTTAGCATTAGATCACTGTTTCTTTTTGTTCCCCCCTTTTTCCTTTACATACTTGTACTTTCTCCTTTGTTTTGACGCTGTCCTTCTTTTTTTCCTCCTTGAGTACCTGCATGTTTCACCCTTGTGCTTCTTCTCCATTTACAGTTGTATGTATCTCTGTTCCGATATTATCCTATCTTACTCGAATAGCTGATCGAAACACATTGCGGGCACTATTCTCCTTTTTTTTTTGGTATTGATTTCTCGGTGACAGCACGAACGCGCGTGCCGGCTTGTGGGCTTACAGTTCTTCTTCTGTTTCCCTTCCCCCCCTCCGTTCTCGCTCACCCCGTTTCTTCACCTTCAGTTCCTGGTACTTTTGCACCAGCACTTCAAGCAAGCCAATTGTGAGTCGTTTCCGGAAAACGACAGAGGTAGCTCTTTGTTCCTCGTATATTCTATTTTAGTTTTTGTCTTGGTTATTGTCTTTCATCTTTTCGTTTTTTTATGAGGGGCAGCCGTAGCTAGCTGAGCTCGTCGTTGCGGTGCACCGCAGTTTCGAAGTCGAAATCTCTTTTTGTAGTACTCCACCAACTCGTATTTTCTTTCATCGTTTGTTGATTGATCTGTATATAAGGATTTAGGCAAACTCCTTTGGAGTTTTTTTTTCTTTCATTATTTTTATAGGCCTTCATTTCTGGAGCTGCTTTACCGTGACTTAAGGACAGAAGAAATTCAAGTCGTCGAGTAAAGAAACGCTGAAAGAGGAGAAAAAAAACACCTCGGCCTACCCCCCCCCCCTACGCACCAAGTTGGACGTTCAACACCTGCATCTGCACACTACCCCGTTTTCTATCGGTAGTGAACGCATCTGCCGTGAATTTCTACTTCTTCATTAGCTCGGATACTTCCCCCCTCTTTTTGTTTGCTGATCGGTTAGTTGTCCTTCTTCTGTGCTTTTTTCTGCACCGCTGGCGGTAATAAGCGTCGGTTCTTTTTTCTTTTTCTTGTGTTGTCGTCGTTCCTCGTGAAGTCCATATATATAAATATCCAATTGCTGCTCCTTTTGTATTTTGTACTCGCTGCTGTCTTCTCCTGTTGAAAGTAACCCGTTCGATTGTCCCTTGCTCGCAATCGAAAGACATTAACAAAGTGCGTTCAAACGAGAGAGAAAAAGCGACGGTGGTGAGTTTTCTTTTCTTTTCTTTACAGATAGATAGTCATCTGCCCTTTTTCTCCTTGTGTCTTGTTCGCTGAGTAGCTAAGGGGGCACTGCGGTTTGCAGTATCGTCTTTCTTGTTCCTTATCCCACTCTTGTAGTGAAGCAGTCGAGATGCCTGGGAGACTCGGAAAGCGTCGCGGGTCTGTTCACGGACAACATAATGAGAACGTGACACCTCACCTCACCTTAGCGCCCATCGAAGTTGCCGTCGGCGGCGACGACCCGGCCAGGTCGAGTCTCAGCAAGAACTACAGCATCTTTTCCATCGGTACCGACGCGCCAGAGACGCCAACCCTCCGGGGCGGCGCTGCGGTGGATCACACCTCGCTCTCTCGCAGTTCCGGTGTGACGGCGCTGCTGCGGCCTACCAGCGAGGTACCAGCCGCGGTGGCGGCCGGACTCCTGCTCCAGCCGCTGTCGTTGTCTTCGAATGCCAGTCCGCGACTCACACACAGCAGCCTGACACACTCTGACTGGGCCTCCTACGTCGAGTTTACCGGCGTACCGGAGGCGGGTGGGCTGCGTGATGTCAATGAAGGCGCGGCGCAGCAAAACGCGTCCTCGCTGCCGGTGCTGACCACCATTTCATTTCCGGCCGCACGGAATGCGTCCCGCTCCGTTGGCGGCGGCTCTGCGTCTCCGCCTGCAGTGAGCGCCGCCGCCGCCGCCGCCACCCCCATCCCCACAGGCGACGCCCCGCCCGCAGGCGCGTCCACGACGACGATGCACGGGATGAGCGCCACCTCGCCGAACTCCTGCAGCCCAAGCCGCTCCATGACGCTGTTGGAGCGTCGCAACAATCGGGAACGCAGCATGATCAGCCTCTCCTGCCCGTCCGGACTGAACGTGGAGACGCTGCAGGCGAGCATGCAGGACACCGGCATGGCCGCCGTGGAGGCGCAGGAGACGACGTCGCTGCTCACGCACGGCTGGTCCAAGACGGTTGCGTCTGCGGCGTTGCTCGGTGACTTCGAGGTGCCACGCACCAGGTCCACGTCGGACGCGGTAGAGAAGAGCAGCACCGATCGCAGTGATGGTGGATCGAGTGCGACGCCGCACCTATTCCCCGACCAGCAGGCGCCTCTCGCCTCGCCTGCATTTCGCCGTGTCGGCACCGCTGCGTATCGACGTGCCGGTCCTGCACTCCCGCTTAACGCGGCGTATGCCGAAAGCGCTCCTTCGGCAAGTCCAATAACACCGGCTGCACAGGGGTGGGCATTTGCGGAAGCGGCGAGCAAGACGCTGGACGCCATTCCCGGTGCGATCAAGGTGGCGAGCTACAACATCCTCGCCAGCCGTCTGGCGTCGACAGACCTGTACCCACATTGCCCTCCATCGGTGCTCAGTGAGGACTACCGCATCAACCGCGTCAAGGAGGAGCTGAGGCAGGTGGACCCCGATATCCTGCTCGTGGAAGAGATCAGCGTCAGCGTTCACGAAGAGTTATTGGGCCCTTACTTGAAGTCTGCACTCGGGCTGGAGGGCAACCACGCGGTCATCACGGACCGCAACGGGCAGCCGCGCTGCTCAACGCGGCTGCCCACCGCAACGTCCGCCACGCCATCGCAGAAGGGACCGTCCAGCACCCGCAAAAAGGTGGACGGCTTCAACCTCGCGGTCCTCCGCGGCACGGGCGGCGTGGCGAACACGCCGGTGACGCCGGCGTCTCCGTCGTACGCGGCTCGTGCGGCCGGCGACCCCCACGCCGTAGCGGCGGGTGGAGAGGGCAAGGGTAACTCCTCCCTCCCGCCTCTGGTCGGCACCGGCTCCAGCGCGACTCGCTCGCAGCCGCAGTGCGGTAACGGCTCTCTCTCTGGCGCGCCCGCCATAGGCGGCAAAAGCTCCCGATCCCCGCTGCGCAGTCGCGCACCCCCCTCGCTTTCTTCCTTGGGGGCGACTTTCACCACGTCGGACACGACGAACTCGACTCCTCCGCCGTCCTCGCATGGTGATCGGCTGCAGGGGAGTAACAGCGCACTGGAGCTCAAATCGATCGCCGCAGGTGTGACAGCTGCGGCGCCATCCGATGGCACACGGCGGAGTCCGCGCAAGAGGCCGGTCTCTGATCCGCTGCCGTCCCCATCGCTCCCGGCTGCGCCAGACGTATCAGCCGCGAACGGCGGTGCGGAAAGCCACCGCCGTGTTGAGATGGACGGGGTGGCTGTCTATTACAAAGCAAACCGCTTTCGTGTGTTGGAGGTGGTGCCGGTGTACTTCAACGCCATTGCGGCCGCCGAGGGGCGTCTGACGCCCTACGAGCACCAAAAGCTGCAGGTGAACTCGCACAACGTGGCCCTCCTCACCGTCCTGCTCGACACACAGGCCCCAGGACTGCAGCACGTGTACATCATCGCGGCGGTGCACTTCATCTGGCAGCGCACCAACGCGCAGCTGTGGCAGGCGCATCAGCTGATGTGTGCCCTGGAGGAGCTGCGGAGCCGCTACAGCAGAGTCGAGGCGGACCTCGCCACGGCCGCCGCGCCGCGCCACTCGCTTCGTGTGGACAACCTGCCCACGCAGCCGCCTAGCCTGGCGGAGACCCCGCTGTGCCACGAGATTGGGGCGCGGAACGGTGTGCGGAGAGAGCTTCCGAAGCCGGCGTCGCCGAGGCGGCGGCACAGCGTGCCATCGGGGATCGCGACGGGCCCGCCCGACACCACCGCCGAGAGCATCAGGACGGCGACCGCGGCGGACGGCGGCAACGTCCACAACGCCACCGCGTCGCTGGGGACCGCCGACCGCCCGCCATGGCGCCGTGAGAGCGTGGTGTCGGCGTCGACCACCATGGGCGGGGTGCTGGTGACCTGTGTGATCGGTGGCGACTTCAACTCCGACCGCAATGGGCCCGTGATGGAGTACCTGCGCACCGGTTGTGTGCCGGAGGGCGTGCAGGTGATGGACTACTGGAAGGCCGCGACACCACTTGCGTCCCCCCTTTGTGAAACAGCGAATGCGATGGAGGAGAAACGAGTAGACACGGTGCGGAACAGCATCGGTGAGGAAGAGAGGAGTGCCGAAGAGAAGCAACCCGCGCCACTGCCGCTGCCGCCGGCGCTGCGGAGCATCGTTGCTCACACCCCGCCCGAACGTCCTCAAACCGTATGTATGCCGAGGCTGGACGTCAGCACGCTGCCCCACCCGAACTCCTCCAGTTCTTCGTCCTTTGGTTCGCCACCGTCGCCGGTGCAGCCGTCCATGCAACCTCGGCGACAAACTCAGTCCCCGCTGGGCACCTTCGACGACGACACCCCGCTGCTGGCGGAAGCGGCAGCGGACGCCGTTGCGTTGCAGCCCTCGACCCCGCCGCGGCACCGCCAGTCGCAACCGTTCCCCAGTCGAACCCGCGACTTGGTCTCTGCACTGGTGGACAGCGCTGCCAGCACCCCCGAGAGCGAGGCCGCTGCCGTGCCAAACGACGCGCCGGTCCACGTGGTGAGTGCGGCGCCGGCGGTGTCCCCGCGCTCCACAGCGGAGAGTCCGCATCGGGTGCCCAGCCTGAGCCACTTCCGCTTCGGCCGCACTTCGCCCTCGCCCATCACGTCGCCGGACTCTGACAGCATGGCGGAGGTGGCGGAGCACAGTTCCGTTGCCCCGCCGGTGCGTGCCACGACGGCGAGCGTGTCCCCCGCTCGCACGCGCTGCCGCAGCCACGACAGCCAGTCCTCCCTGTCGCACAGTAGTCGTCGGCACAAGGCGTACCGGTCGAGTTCGCGGACGAACAACGAGAACCCGCTGATCGGCTCCGCAGGGTCGACATCGCTTTACTCGCGCCGGCGAGCGTCCGTTGAGGCGCCGCGGTCGGCGGGGAGCAGCGCGTTGATGGACTTCGCACCCGGCAACAAGTCCGCTTCGTGCAGTCACAGCGTGAGCGAGTACGAAAGCGTTCTGAGCAATCCGTTTGGCACTGGAGGGTGCTCGATGAGGCTTCCGCAGCATGTCCACAACGACACCCCGAGTGCGGAGTCTAGCGTGACGTGGTGGATGTCGGAGGAAGGGCAGGGACCGGGGCAGCAGCAGAAGCCGCTCCCGCCGACGCCGGTGCGACGCCGCAGTTACACGCCGGGGCGACTGCAAAGGTTAACGCCGACTCTTCTCAGCCCGTCGCCCAACTCCTCCGTTGAAATCAGCACCCTCGCCACGCCAGGGAAGGCAGACCCTCCCGCGAAGCAGCACACCGTCTCCTCCCCTGCCAACGGCAGCAGCGGCGATAGCTGGGGCATCTTCGGCTCCCTCATTCACCCCCAGCTCTCCCAGATGGACAACTGCGAGGCCCCACCGGCACCGAGAGCCGGCGCAAAACGCCGCCCTGCCAACCACAACGCCACACACACGGTCTCTGGGGCCTCGACAAACGGGACGTGCGCCGACGGCCCACCGGCATCTCCGCAGGCGCCGCGACAGCACCGGATCGATGCCGAGGGCGGCGCCGGCACCATGCGGACCACCACCACCACCTCCGCGACGAACTCCGTGGAACGGTACTTTTCACCGGTGGAGAAGGGGCCCTTGTCGCCGTCGTCGTCGTCAGACTCCGTCTCCTCACACGAGATGCCGTGGCCGGCGGCGCTCGGGGAGGCGGCGCCGTTCAAGCCGGCCCTAGGACTTATTGACGACGTCGACCACGCCCTCCGCCTCAGCGACGCCTACGCGCCGTATTGCCACCGTCACCCATCTCGCGTGTCCGCGGTGAACCCGTCGACAAACGCGGAGGGGAAGGTGCTGGATCACATCTTGTATGAGGATGAACACGTGGTGTGTGGGGCGGTGCTCCGACTTGGGGTGCGGCAGGAGTTGCCGAATGCGCGTGTGCCGAGTGACCACTACATGATCGGGGCTGTGCTGGTGCCCATTCAAGAGCTCCATCACTCATAAAGCTGCCTTTCTTTCTTTTTCTTTTGCTTCCTGTTGCCCTCTTCTCCTTTTCTTTATCTCTTCGTCTGTGTCGAGGTCAAACATAGCAGTCTTCGGGTGACAACGGGGACTCCTAATACATATATTTTCGCTTGTTGTGTTCCCGCAACGTTGCGGTGTATATTCAATATATAGCTAAGAAGAAAGGGGAGGGAGGGAGATGTAATTAAACCTGGGCGTGATCGGCGTTACCGTTCGCGCGAGTCGATTTCCGCTTTTCTGTTTCTCCGTTGTCGTTGTTTCCCGTTTCGCTGCTGTATATTTATTGATGCGTGTGAGTGTGTGTGTGTGTTGAGGATGCGCGCGCTGCTCTGACACCAACCTGGCCATATAGCCTCGTGCCATGGGTGTCTTCTTCTGTTGGTTTGGGTATCGGAAAATTATTGTCTTTGTGGAAGATGGGAAAAGAAGAAGATGCGCATGCGCCGTCTAGCACAGCCGACATGTTTTGTTTTTATGAATTCGAATCGTTCTCTTGTTCTCTTGCTTTTTCTTTTTCTGTTTTTTTCTCTCTTATGTTTGTCACTGACGGCGAAGAATTACTTGCGTGTTAGCCGGCAAACGTATGCGCGTAGGCACGTGTGCACGCGGCGGAGAGGCAGCGCCTGGTGTAGGCCCGTATGTACATCCTCAATGCTTGTGTTTTCTTCTCTTTCTTTCCCGTCCGACATCATTTTGTTTTTTTTTCTCTCTTCTCGGTCTTTTTCTTTTCTTTCTGCCTGAACACTCGTGTGCCGTGTCCCTTCCCCGCTTCACAGATTTCCGGGAATCTTCCACCAAGCGCGAATGTATATGTCTCTCGTGCGCGCGTGTAAAACAGACGGCAAGCAGACAAAAAATAATAATAGTAAGAACGGAGCAGAAACGGCTTAGCGCAAAACCCCGTACCTTGGCAATAAGAATCCAAAGAAATAAAAACCAACAACCACAACAAAAAAGACGCGGAAAAGAAGAAGATACATGTGCTCGTTATGAACGTCGTGAACCTAAAAGAAGAAAGGTGCGCAATGGGTAAGTATTTGCGTAATTGAAGCGGCGTCTTTTTGCCACGTGCACTTCTAACACAGAAAACTAAGTGGCGGTGTCTTCGATGCGCGTGGAGTGGTTGATATTTTACCCACCTCAGGCTTCACGTTTGGTAAACCCAACGGAAAATGATTGCTGGATGTTTCTTCCTTCATTTTCATTTGCTCATGTATACATGTTTTTCGGTGTGCTGTTGTTTTCACAAGTTTCCTTTCCTTTGCTGTACTTCTCCACTTCCTCTTCCTCCCCCTCGCTCCTCCGTTACGCTGACATTGTTGGCTGCTTTGGACTGCGACCGTCTTCGTCTCCTCCCCGTAAAAATAACAATAATAATAATGCGTGTTATCAAGGTTTTATCTTGTTTTCATCAACACAAGTTTTTCTAATTGTGTGTTGCTTCATCCGCAATAATATCTGCGAAGGAAACATCATGGGCCGCACAGAGTCATCAGAGTCGTCGCCGGGCTTCCGCAATGATGATCGTCTGTTGAACACCGACGACCTCAAGCACGCTTTGGATCTCGCCGTGAACCTCGGCAAGCCGTGGACGGAGCGCAGCGAAGACGGCACCTACCGTCTCTTTCAGCTGCCATTTTACTGCAAGAAGGTGCTGTGGGACGATGGCCTGGCAAGCTCGAAGAACCCCACTTTTCAGAAGTTCCTCGAGAGCGACAGCTTCCAAGAGGCAACCAACTCGCTGGTGAAGGCGCTTGACATGGACGGCGATGGCAAGATCACACCGAAGGACTTTCAAATCATGTACGACTCGAAGCTGACCCCGGCCCTCTCCGGTAACCGTGCCACGCTGGACAAGTGCCTGCCGTTTGTCGGGCAGTGCACGTTTGGCTTTGTCGTCGGCCTCGGCTTTGGCGCACTGACGCGCAATATGTACAAGGGCAAGTTCTGGATCGCCGGCACCGGTCTCGCCATCTACAGCGGCGTGCAGTACCTGGCGCAGCAGAACTTTGTGAACCAGAAGGTGCTGGAGGAGGCCTTCAGGGCGAAGGTGAAGGAGCTGGCAGATGTAAACGGCGATGGCGAGATCAACCGGGACGACCTCAACTCACTGGTGCAGAACCGCGTGCGCTTTATCGCCACGAAATTGGGCCCCGGTGGCTTGGCGCCTGGGGTGGCGGGTTACGCGTCACTCGCGCTAGGCTTTGCTCGTGGTGTCCGCTGTATCTGATGGAGACCGAGATCTTCCATTTCACCTTTTATGCTGACTGATTTTTTTTTTGGACTATATATGGCTTATACCGTCTGAGAAGAAAAGGAAGGAACCCCTAAATAAGCGTCTCATCTGTCTTGGAATTCTTTCTCTTTCTCCTTCTCTTTCTCCTTCTGGTTTCTTATCATCTCGTGTGCAGTAGATCTCTTTTTCACCGTTTCGTTTTAACGCATGCACCTCTTTCTATTGCTCCAAGCAAGCTCATAGTAGCAGGAGTGGAGAGCGGATCACTTCTCTTTCTCTCTCTCCGACGATTGCCGTTTTATCTGGGTGTTCATATGACTTACGAGAGGAGCGCCCCATTCTCTCACGTGATTTTACGACTTTCTCTTCCAAAAAAGATTTGTTCTTTTCCTTCCCTTTTTAACCGAAGAAAACGGATCATTGTGTCTTGCGAAAAACAACAACAACGGAGGTGCTCTGCTTCGCGTGTGTGTGCATTGCATTTGCACGTGCGGTGCGTGGAGAAAGCGCCCCCGCATCCTCCTTTTTTTCTTGTTGGCCGCTGTCGAGCTATTCCTTTGATTTTACCCGCTGCTGCCCTTTCCCCTCGATGATCAATTCCGTTCTCTTTCCAACCTCTTTCTTCTTGACTTCAGCTCTCTGCTTTACGGTGCTGATCGGCGCCTTCACAAGCGCGCGTACCCACTCAGCGATCCCTGCCGGTGTACGCGAGAAGGCGACGCAGAAGGCAGGACACGAGAAGATAAACCACGCACTTTTTCTCCCTCCCTCCCTCCCCCCCTCTCTCTCTCTCTCTCTCTCTCTCTACTAA